AAAAAAAAATGACGCCCCTGGAGCAAAGTATTTCTCCAAGCAACATAAAAAAAATATAATATATATATATATATATATTATATTTATATACATGCATAAATACATACAAATTTGAAATTCACCACAAAAACTAACTACTATGTTAATGAAATTATAATTACTTCAGTTATATACCCGATACCGTAAACTATTGACATTGTAAGTTCCCTCTATAGTCTATACTATAGACTCTATAGTATAGGTACATTAGGTACCAACATGATATACCTAGATTCTGCAGCTGTAACTTATGCATTATATACTATTAAACCATTGAAGATCATCGCTTAAGTATAAGTTCATAATTGTATATTACCTATATTTAGATATATAGGTACCAACTAAGAAATAACACTAAAACAGTAAAACGTCTAAAACTGCAGTCGAGTTATCTTAGTCACGTCTATTACGAATTCAATCGATAAATATAATATATTATTACTGTCTTCATATAAGGGTTGTGCGTGGTGGCGAAGTTCAAACGAAGAATATGTAAAGTGTAATGCTCATCCATGTAAAAGAAAAATGTTTGGAGATTGGCCAATTTTTGAGTTTTGCGAACATTTACATGATAAAATACCAGTAATATTGTTCTATTCGACGGCGATAAATAATACTTTTGCATGGATCGTCTGCTTTATTTGTTTGAAAATACGTTTCGAGTTAAATGTTGCGGCCGGCGTAGCGTATACAATATTATGGTTAGGTAGGTACCACTTTTGTGTCATTCCGATTCAATAAGTAGGTAGGTAGTTAACATCATTACAAACTACAAACATATTATTTCGATACGCATAATGTAAAGAGTAGGTATAGATAAGGTGATAGGTACATGGTACAGTAGAAACATATTTTGAGTGCTGTAGTTATTGAAACAATATTATATGTGTGGCGTGTGCAATACCTATAAGGAAAAGTAGATTGAGCACGCAGGTAGGTACCTAAATTACATTTTACTCAAAACCAACACTATACGGTTTACGCAGTCCGTATTCAACAATATATATTTTGAATTAGGGCAATAATAATATACCTATCGGCTATCAATAATACTTAGTTTTCCTTATCGCTAATTCATCACAGGGTGGTTGTTCTGCGGTTAACTTTGAAAGTATTGTTGTGAAAATCAATTCGTCTTACTTAGCGATTAAATCCGTATTTAAGGCTAATACTACGAGATCGGAAAAGTATTTTATTTACTACTCGAGTCTTAGCTCGTGACCGTGAAATTCAATCCGTAAAATAATATTATCGGCATAGGTACTGTAGAAATTGCAAAGTTCCATAGAACGCTAAATATAATACGTGTAAGCAATCATTGCAGTAGTTTGTTTTCATACTAAGATACATTGCAATAATTAAAGCACAAAATATAATTAGAAACCAGTTCAATTTTTAAAATGTCCTATTTTTTTTGGATCGTTTCCCATTCCTAGGTCACAGTTAAAATGTTAAACACGATCAAAATGTTACATTTAATAAAATAGGTACCTACGTATCAAAATCCTATTCAGACAATTCAGTTAGTATTATATGGTTATTGCTGCCAATTTCGCTACATTTTTTTTATGAACTTCAAGTGAAGAATGTTCTGAAATATTTTGTATTAAGGTTACCTATCTATTACATTATTACAATAATAATTGTCAACGTACCTACCCAGGTAGGTACTCAATTAAAAGAAAATGCATTGTGCCACATGTATTATTCATATTTTATGCTATAGGTGACGATTGTACTTATTATTTTATGAAACCCATATTTTCATCCATCCCAAATTCATACTTGGAAACAATTAAACAAAAAAGAATTTATTTAAAGATTTGAAGAAAAATAAAACAGATCGATGAAAATTATATCTTTATTTAAATTTTCTACATACATAAGAAAATGTATTACCTATGTGACTATTTATTATACTTTATAATACGTACTATAATAAGATTAAAAACTATAATAATGTAGGTATTAATGTATGTAGGTATGTAAAGCGTACCTATATATTTACATAATACTCATTTGCTCAGGGCCATCAAACTTTAAATTCAGTAGGTAGTTAGGTAGGTATATATACTGTCTTTTTCAACATTTTCCATGATCATAAATCATCGTAACAAACGAACTTGGAATTACTAAATATTCATAACAAGGCAAACATAAATAACGTAGGTAGGTAGGGATAAGTATTATAGGCACCTATACTAACGTATCTAATGGAATATTGTCGTCTTTCGCTTTATCTTAAAAATAAAAAAATATGTAGCTGTAAAAATGTAGAGTTCCAATTTTAAATACATATTACCTAATATATTAAAATATTAACACTACAATCAATACATAAATAATTCATATTTCAGATACTTATCGTCAATTAAAAGTAGTAAGTAGGTACATTCCGTTCAAAAGGATGAAAATCTCTATAAGTTATCATTAAAACATAGGAACTAAAATAAATTATTATGAGTCCCCTTGCAGTAGGGCACTATTTATAGGTACTTACGAGTACATTGCATTTTTGACGTATACGTTTATACAATTATACGAATACAACACCGATATAGCTAGGTAACATAATATTAAACTACTAATCAAAATATTTATGTCTATTATCCACAGGGCTGGACTGGAAGGGTTTAAGGCCATCATCCTCTGTAAGCAACGGGCCCATTTTCCTACATTTAACGGTCCACCATGAACTAACGAAATATTCCATTTCTCTCAATACCTGAGTATTGCGAGGTTATTTTTTTATTATTTAAATTGATAAGCTGTAAATAAAAAATGCCGTCATCATTTATACCAAAGCATGTTCAACATTAAGAGGATGTTGGCCCAATTTTTGTTTTCTCTCTCAGACCGAGCGACATAAAACGCTTTCACCTAAAATCGTTTTTTTATGATTTTTGAGCAACCTTCGAGTAAAATCACCTATTACAATAATTATAAAGATTAATATTTTTGTGGGTATGACATATCAGTTTTATATTTTATTATATTTTGACTTACCTAGTAATCAACTTTAAAAAAAAAAATGTTAATTTAAATGACGTTTAAATTGTTTTGAGACTATATTTAGACAGATCGATATGTCATTCCCTCAAAAACATTATTCTCTTTCAATTTTGTAATGGGTAATTTAACTTTAAAATAATTTGGCCTTATCTTCTTTATTTTTAAAGATTTTTAGAAAGCTTCTAATAATTATATTGAGATTGGGCCAGATAATATTACTATTTTTGTTGAAATTTTCTTTAGAATTTAATGCTGGCTTTTTAATTTAATATTAAGTGCTTCCGGGTAGGCATTGTAAATGGCATCAGGACCAGGAATTGATATGAGGCTCGTCCTTTCATCATAGTTAATTCAAAATCCATGATGATGAAATTAATTTTGATTAGGTAGGTATCTTATGTTGTAGATTTTGTTTTGTGATACAAATTGTGTGTAGTCGTGTAGGTAAGTCATAACACATAACATAAATTCAGATCAAAATAAATCCTAAGTTTACACCTTTTCACTGTTCCCTTTATTTTTATTCTATTACAAAGAAATACACTTCTAAAGCTCGTAAAGGTATATATTATTAATAAAGTACAACTTAAACGGTTTGAGATGTGAATAAATGGAAAATGATGAGTATAAAAATAATTTTTTATTCTACTTAAATTTATATTTTCTAATGCTCTTTTTTTAAAATTGTTTGTACCTACAGTACTTAATGCCTAATTCGTAATTACTAATTAATCTAATAATTAAACAAAACTATAATGAAGATAAAATATTTGTTTGCAAATACAAATCGATAAGTTTTATCGAATAAAACTGAATTGAATCATTTGTCTAGCTAGTCTAATTGTTTATTGATTTTATTCAAACCTTTTTTATCAAATTTAATTTTTTAGTTTTGTCTAAATGTGTTGGTTTTATGAACCATTTAAAAATGTTAATTCTAAAGGAAGTATTGAAAATGACGATTCTAGTGTTTGTTTAATTCTAAATTACTCATTATACTTTTAGTCGTTTTAGCAAAACATCGAACTTCAAGTAAAACTTTATAGTTTTGTTTTATGAACAAAAGATTGTTTAACACAAATCATTGTAATAGTAGTGGGTTTTCAAGTGCATAGTAAAAATTGTTTTTAAAATATGACGCAACCTACATTTTTTTATAATTCTATGATATAAGTATCACATTACCGAGATTTAGTTATCGAGTTTTTTAATAGTTGAGTTACACAAATTAAATTGGTATTACTATTGCATAACTATTTTACAAAATAAAATTGTTTTGTCCCCAAATGGTTAATTAATAAGTAGGTTGAATTTTCAGCCATATGTATAAATTGATCATTTGCTTTTTCACTGCTACACTATTTATGCCTTGCAACTGTCTATGCTACATAAAACAAAATATTTTGAAACTTAATTTTGAAATCTATATAATTGTATTATTTAAGTTTAAAAGAAAGGAACATAATAGTATGCCTGAAGTAGTGAAAAGGTTAATTGAAACATATATCCGTAAAATATAGTATAATTTTAAAATATCAGTGATTCTTAGGTATTTTTATTGAAATATTGATCTATTATTCATTGGGTGAAGGCCTACATGTAATATTTTATATATTTCTTGTATATTATTATTTGTATTAAATTTTACAAAGATTTGTAAATTCTTTAGAAGGAAATTTTAAGAAAAAATTTAATGCAAAATACTTAAATTACAAATTGATTAGCTGAATTACATTAGACATAACTAGTGGCATATGCAAATTGAGATTTTACTTCCCCCGATTTAATAATATAATGGTTTTAAGTTCTTATAACATCCGCTAGTCATACCTCTTTCAGCTTAATCTATTTTCAATTTTTTTTTTAAACCTTAGTTTTCTTTTTTCCTAGAAAATCAACTTGAAAAATGTTAGTAATTAGTAAATAACAAATATTTTAAATATTTGAATGTAGTTCTTTGTTTATTTGTTGTTGATCATTCAGATTCCTTAGCTTTTCTTGTTTCTTTTAAGGACATTTTACTGAGGTATTCGTTTCTTTTTGTTCACTTGTTCCGATTGTTCTGTCTAAGCAACTAGCAATCATACATTGTCATTAAAGTGATTTTTTTTTTTGGATTTCCAGTATTAAAATGTATTGCTCCTTCAGTTTCTTCTTCAACAAACACCTAAAAAACATACAAATAAAAATCAGCGAACAGATCAGAATTGTACGTACACATGGTCTACATGTGATACTTTTCAGCCCGTTGACAATCAATGTAAAATATTTGACTTTCTGCGTTGGGTTTGTCCATTCTCTAAGAACTTTTAAGATCAATCATCATTTTATTATTAATTTAAAACAAATATAATGGTATAGTGTTCAAAAAAGTATTGAACAAAAACATAATCAATAAATTATTGTAAATTCATCATTAATAATATGTTTTCAAGTTAATTTTGCAATGAAACAACTTTTTTGTGCAATTAAAACAGCTAATAACATTTGAAGAAACAAAGAATATTAAAAACTAGGGGCTCTGCTCCCTGCTTGGCAATACAAAAAATATAAATGAAAAATAATACAAACATTATATTGTCAATCAAGATGAATGTAAAGGAAAATGATAAATATAAAAAAAATAATTAAAAACTGTTTATGTTTTTTTATAATATATAAGAACTCATTTTACCAAAAAAACCTTTAAATGTTACACATAATAAAAATTTATCCGGTGATAAAATTTTTATCCTGCACCCATAATATTAAAAATAGTATATATAAGTGTCAAATGATAAGAATTCACATTTTATTATATTTTACTCACAAAAATTGAAAATAGATACCTACCTAATAATAATAAAATATTACATAAATGAAAAAATAATATTTAGTTTTTGAGGTGTTTATGTTATCAAAAATTAGGAAAAACAAATTAAAATTAGATCTTAACTCTGTTAAATAAGAATACTATCCACATTTTGAGTATAATCTAAATAGCAAAATTGTATTGTTGTTAACTTTATTCTATTGAAATCAAAATTGTTTCTAGCATATACAGCAAACAATTTATCTGACATATTTTCCTTGTGGTTATAACTTATTATATATTGTATAATATATCAACATGATACTTTTGCAGGCAAAATTTGAGTTAAAATTTAAACTAGGGACCTACTGATCATTTTAGGCATGTTTACCACCACCTGTAGCACATGCATAAAATTATTTTGGCAAAATTCTGTTAAATATATAGAAGCCTCTAGGTGCTATATAACTTGCTAGTTGCTTTCTATTACTGCACAGCCAAAAAATTATTTTTATAAATATACACCATATTATATTGATGATAAGGGGGCAGAAATAAGATTAACATACAAAGCACTACACAAAAACTACAAAACAATAATCATCAGCAAAATCTAACAATATGGTTAAAAAAACATATTGGAGGAATGCAAAACATCTTTTATAATAATGATCATAAGAACGTCACCAAATACATCAATGAAATTAATTGCAAATAATTGTTTAATAATATGTTAAAAATAGTTCAATAAAAGTGTATAGCAAAATATATGATATTAATAATCATCATAACATATACTGTCCAAGCACTCAAATGCATCAATGAAATTCATTGGAAATAATTATTTAATCACTTATGAGATTGTTCAAAATCATTTCAAAAGGAATCAAAAAAAATTGTACAATGACATAACAACTTAAGATCTTAAGGAGAGACTACCTATACTAAGATATTATATAATATAGCCAGTCAGAGAACAAATTTTCAAAAATCAAATTGCAATGTTATCTAGATTTTTAAGTATTATAAATTATTGATACATTGACCATAAGGGGATGGAGCAGAGAATAACATACAAACCAATAATCATTACAAATACTATTATCAGCAAAATTCAACAATGAGATAAATAGAAAACACATATTTTATAATAATGATCAAAACAACACAAACCAAATGTATCAATAAAATTCAAAGCAAACAATGTTTTAACCAATTCTGAGTTAGTCAAATAAATAACATGTTTCGAGAGTGCAATAAAAATGTACAACATAATATTAATAATTAAAAACCATTATATCATATACTATCTAGCACGGTAATGCATCAATAAAATTCTTTGCAAATGATTATTGAATCACTTATGAGATTGTTCAAAATCATTTTCAAGGATGCAAAAAAAAATTGGAAAATGACAACTTTAGATCTTAAAGGAAGAGACTAATTACACTAAGATAATATATTATAAACCTAGTATTTATCAGGACAATATTACAATTAAATATTATTATTTATTTCTATTAAAATTACTATTCTGTAGAAATAACATTTCATACAAAAAAAAAAAAAACAATCCCAAATTTAATATTCTATTCCTGTTATTGATTTTCCTGATTTATATAGCTCTACAATTAAATTCATTGCATATTGAAATCATTTTTGAGTTGGTCAAATAACACATTAAAAGAAATTAGCGAAAACTTTATAAGCATAATAATATTAAGAATCATCAGTTCATATTATACTATCTAGCAGCAAAATCCATCAATAAAATTTATTGCATATGAGTTTATACTGAATTTGTTCAATAACATATTAAAATAAATTGCCAAAATATTAATAAAAATAGTAATATTCATAATGGTCAGATTAGTTACTAATGTTACTATATAGCGTCATAAAGATTAACTTGTAGATACATCAGCAGTCGCTTTGATAGTTTTCATAGGTCTATATTTAATTATTGCCATATGTACGGTAGAAACTTATTAATTTTTTTTAATCCTTGAATGTTGAAATTTGTTAAATAGAGTAGAGCCACTTCGTATGATGATAAACACTGATTTGACAATTTTTTTTTTTTGAGTCCATACAAATGTAGACGTCTCATTTTTTTCAACTGCGTTTTCATTATAACGAATAACTCTTCGTTTCCTAGTTAACAATGATTATGTAATTAGTTCCATATATTTATTTCTTGTCAAGAATCATATTAAATGACTCTATTTTTTCTTTAAAAAGTTATTTAGTGATAAATTGTAATATACATTCCCAAAAACAACCTTGTTCTTGTATATTAAAATTAGTAAATTATATTAATTCATTTTTCTTACTCACTAGGATTTACAACTGATTGAGTTAAAATCATATTTCTCTTGAGTATATGAGTAACTCATTCTACTAAATTCCTTGCCACAAAACTAAACATGGTAATCTAAAAAATAAAAGTCATTTTCCTCATAATTATTAATATTATATTTACATTTTATGAATAAGATATATTATATACAAAACAAATTATTGCATTATTTACTTGACTACAACACTAGTACTTAGGAAAGCTTGTAGGTTCATTATTGTGAAGATTGCAGTTAGATTCTTAAATAATTTCTGTATTAAGAGTTGTCAAATTAATATCCAAAACATCCGACCTTAAAAAATAAAACATTTGATTAGCATTAACGTATGCTTGAAATATTTATATAACATATTAATTATACCAAAATATTCAACTAACCAAAACATTGAAATATTTTATTTTGTACAACTGTACCCAATTTAGTTATTTAATTTTAAATTTTCTACCCTGGCTAGGTAAAATTATAATATATTGTTTAATATTATTTGGCCAATGTTATATGACTATTATAGTTTTAAATATATTTCATGAGTATAATTCTGAATCATAAACAAAAAAAAAAATGAAAAAAATATATATGTATAATATACATTGTATATATTTACCTACAATATTTTAACATCATAAATATTTATGGAGGAAAATAAACAGTTTAATATACAGCCAATTATTGTGAATATTCACATAGGTGAACAACAAAAACAAATGTTTTTTAAGTAAAATAAGTCTATGCATATATTTATATATGCGATATACTTAAAATGTTAATATATTTGAATTGTTAGTCAAAAAATAATTTTCTATTCTACTATTGAAAGGAAAAATAATAGGCAGATGCCTTAACATCTGCCTTTTATTTATAATTTATAACCATAGTTAAAACAGTGCTTATGATTTTTAAATTTTATAATAAGCAAGTCCCATAGTTGCTCTATTGTCTTCTTAGGTATTTAACTAAATTGTTCATTGCTCTGGCATTTTTCCTTTACACTTAAACACTTTATAGGCTTTATACTTGATGGATACCAAAACACTTCTAGTTCCTATTGAAAATAAATAATATGTATAAATATATAATCTTAAAAACAAAATTTAAATTTATTCAATAAAATGTACCTAAATAATGATGATCTTTTAAAATTAATTTAAAAGAATATTTATGATATAAACTAATAGTATCATAATAAGTGAATTATATGAATGACAAAATAAAATACAAATATATACGAGGACAACATGAGAACACTAGAGAGGAGACAAGCCCATAGGCAGCACCTCCGAATTACCTATATTTTTTTTATAAGGGAAAATCAATATTTATTTTGTTAAGCGTCTCTTGGCCAGTTTCTTTTTTTCCTGCAATGATTAAATAAGACATTTGGAAGATATGAAAATGTTTGTGATTTGTGAGTTTGTTGTGAAAATAGTATTGGTGGGTTTTTTTTTAGTGTGATAGGATTAGATGTGTAGGTTATTGTGTATATTTAGATACATACCGCAGATATCCAGTAATTAGACACAAATGCCTGAAAAACTCACAGTAGGCAAATGTTTGATGGTTTTAAATTGGTATTATTCAGGATTTTTGTAAGCTAAAATATACCTAACTATTGATACCAAAATTGGAGGAAAGTATTTATTATTGCCAATACATCCTGTGCCCATACCATTTCACTATCATTATTATCGAGTTGGGGTCAATATTGTACACATCATGTCACCTTTACCTATTAGTCCTATTCTTGTACAAAATGAATACAGTTAATTATAAGAGTAAGCTAAATAAAAAAAACAGTAGTACAGACTATTTCCTGCAATCATATAATCCGAATAACTATTTAATATTGTTTAGCCAACACAATTTACAGTGACACACCACACAATGGTGCAGAATATGAAATTAGATTGCCTTATTTGATAACTCTTTAAATGTAGACTATATTTTAGTACAATGAATCTATTTTTTTGACTAATGAATCAAAATGTATCCTCAAATTTGAATTAGATCCCTAACTTAGGGGGAGGGAAAGTGTTTTTTTTTAATATTCACTAAGATGTCATTTTATATATCAATTTATATTTTTTTGGTCATTAAATTCAAATATCACAAATGTTTAAGGCCATTGGTTTGTTTTTAATGTAATGTTCATCTCATTTTTTATTCAAATTTAAGATAACATTCAACAGTTAAGTTTTTATCTCGGTTTCTTCAATTCTAAATCTTCATTACAACATACTACATTTAAGATTTTTTATAAATAAATCCAAACAAATATACCGTGTGGATTTAAGGATTGTGGGATTTCATTGTTTTTCTACATTTAAACACTCAAATAAATCACCATACCTCAAATTCCCATCAACTTTGCTACTAAGTCCCTACAAAAAAATTACCGTTAAGACGAAGAGGCGCATACAAATTTTATTTTTTTATTGAATAGTCAATTAATTAGTTGTGTTTTATAATATTTTTATACTGTCAAAGTTAAAACCTATATCATTTGCACATAAAAGTATGAAAAAAAATTAATTTTTAACATTTAAAATTAAATAAATTCTTGGAACTTACCTTATTCTAAAGTTTTCAGTGGAAAAAAATCAAAGGAATTAAACCGACAACTTGTACACTTAGTGTTGTACAATGAAGAATGCGTAGCAATAATAATTAGTATACCATTAGATTTATACATTTTAAAGGCTTATCTGGGAATTTGACAAGGTTTATGATATTACTTTCATCATTGATATCATATTATTATCTTCAGTAAAACATATTATAGTCAATAATAATTTAATATTTTTAGTCGTAGGTAATTGAAATAATTTTAAAATTTTAAGATCGATTTACTAGAGTCCCTACTCCCTAATACCTATACATATTATTTCATATTTCAACCATTATCACTGTGCGCCGTCACTATCAATTGTTACCAAAATGTGTTAAAAATCAGATTATAATAATATAAGAAAAATATAACGACGAGAAAGACGACAGCCGCGCCCTCTGATATCAGACTACAGAACTACACGTCTACACCCCTCTTGATACGCAAAAACGACCAGGTTTTATATTAGTACGTCAATTTACCTAGGTTTCGAAAAAAATTTCAAAAACACGTAGTAGCCAAATAACAATTATTTCTGTATTGTTGTATTATTTTTTTAATAGGTACCTCCTACCTAGGTACCTATGGGCTATGTTGAAAACGATGGAAGTTTGAAGAAGCATAATAATTGCAGTTTAACTTCCACAGTTCCACACGTTTTATGTAATTCATATTCATTGTAGTTGTTTATTATAAATTCTTAATTTTCAACTTCTAGTTCTTAACCTCCTAAAATTGCTCATTTTCTTTTTATTATTATTTGCTTCACTAATTTCTCTAAAATTCCATTTCAACATAATATCATTTATGGAGTCGATGTTTTCCAATTACATATAATAACTACTATAAATACATTTCGAATATTTTTCCGACGGTAATAAGCCATGGCAGTCAAACAACAACTACTATCATAATATCATATAGATTTTTGATTAATCGCTATTAGTTGTGTTATTAGGTTATATTGAAATCGATTATTTTCTTAACAATTCGCGTTACAGTTGCAAATTGCAATGGCAACCAAACATTAACTAGTAAATAAACGTAATTTTGTAAACTGTACTTTTATATATATTGGGAATTTTTTAGTGCTATATATTTTGTTACATTAGATTAAATTAGATTATTTGAGCTACATTGACCACAAAAACATATTATACTGAGTGATTCTGTTATTACTTAACACTCAATATTTCGACGTAAAGTATAAATGTTTTTGAAAAGAAAATTGTTATATGGTTTCTAGTCGTCATATAACAACATATTTAAAAAATACACTTCAAATAATATATTTTAAATATTTTTATCCTAACAATGTTTTTATTGAAAAATTATATTTTTTGTCCTTATCATTTTTTTCAGCTGTTTCCTTTTTTGAATTACAACATTCCTAGGTAGTTTTAATTTCATACTTCAAAGCAAAATATTATTTCAACACATAAAAATCGAATGTAGAACGAGTAGCTTATGAGTTATAAGAACCTATTTAAAGTTTAGATGAGCGAAGTGGAGTGGTACGTGATTTACCCCTCAAAATGTTATAAAAAAAAATTACTTATAACTTATAACTTATAACTTATTAACTACCTACCTACCTACTCATTCCAAATTCGAATTGTATGTATAGAAATCCTAAGAAAAATATTCTGTAGATGAAATTAAATATGTAAGTTGTAATTCAAAAAAGTAAAAATTTAAATAAATTATAAGGATAAAAATATTAATAGATCCTTTTGGAAAAATGAATATTTTGTGTTATACCAACCACCCGGTGCCCCGGTATAATATGAATCAACGTTGTTCCGTGTAGCTTTCAAGTTAAAGGATCAACCCAAAACTACAGTTCAGATTAATTGACTACTCAATTAAATCAAATAAATATATAGAATTGTTTTTGAACGCCATGTCGATTTATATGAATTATATCTAATCGCAAACGTAAAGGAAAATGAAAACCATACACCTACCTATAAACTAATGATTTGTGTTATACACTTGTACATTTCAAATACTATCGAAAGGTAATTTTATTTAAGAACTATATTCTAATTTTGTAAAATAATAATTTATAAAATATTAAAACCTACATTTTGTTTCAATTATTTAGTTATGTTTATCCTATTCTGTACCCATATAATTTGTTAAATTTAAATATTCAATGGAAGTTTATATAGGTAATTGGGCTGCATAATATAATATTTATGTTTGCATTACTTATCTTAGGATAATAATCGATTAATAATAATCGGGTTTTAATATTCAAAACTGTTATTTGAGATTAGATAATAATATTATATTCAATAATTTAACCATGATTTCAAAATAAATTTGAATTTGGATCTGTGTTATATTTGATATGGATTTGAATATTAAATATTTTCGATTAAAACCGTCCTAGCGATCTCTGGTTAAATGAAGTTTAAAAAAATACAAATAAAGTACCCAACTTAAGCCTGTGTCTATCGGGTCGTGTCAATCGTGTCATCTCCCATTCGCTATGCCTTTTTGCTAATCAAAATTACAAAAACAGTAATTTACATTGTACTATTGTAGGTACCGTAAAAGAATCAAATAACTTAAAATGGCTATAACTTCGATACTGAGTCTGACCACCAAATTTTGACTTCAAGATCGGTAACAAATTTACAATACCTCTTACATATTCTAACACCGTATTCATCATCAACAAATGCACCCACGTCCACGTGGCGAAGAAGGAAGGTGATTGGTCAAATTATTATAATTTATAATATAAGTAGGAAGTTCTCGAGTTACACCACCTCGGCGAAAGTATAGCACAGGCGCACGAGGATCTCGAACCTACGGCTCGCCAAACTAATTAACGTTTTGAATAATGTATTTAATACATTAATTATTACTAAAAAAAAATTCTTATATATCTTCAATTTCTTTTTCTCTCTAGGTATCCCTATTAAAAAAAATGCTGCCCTGTTATTCCCAAGGCCAAGTGTATCTCATATTTGGATCACTGTAAAAAGACAGGTTGAATACCCCTGGAGTAGCATCATAAAGATGTAAACACAAGTGTTTCTCAACTGTAATAAACTGTGAATCTACTTAATGAAAAATATAATTTTGAAATAATTACACGTTGTGCAAAAATAACTCCAGCGATACAAATAAAAACGTCTATAGAAGAATGTATAAAAAATAACAAGTGGTTGTGTTCGGACAACAATCGTATTATACTATACTGATCAAAATATTTATTCAAATAGACAAACGTTTTTTACATACCTATACGTTACCCAAAGTGATTAATTGGCATACATACTTGATATCGGGATCGCCGCCGACCACCCGACTTTGCGGAAAGTAGGTACCTCGTGCCTAGCTGTTAGCCTTTGATCTTCCTCTAGTGTACTCGGAATTTAATTTATAATTCAATAATCAGAAGCCGATAAGTGACCGGTACTACGAGTAACGATAAACAGTAACGTCCATCCACTAACGTTTCGAACAACGAACGTTCAAGTATTAAGTTTGAAGTTTAGTACATATTCAAGTGTTAAACTCGATAACTGAGCAACTGACTGCTAAACACGACAAGTGAAGAAACAACCACAGGCGCAACTAGAGGCCAAAAACTGGGGGTGCCAAAATTATGCAGAGGACACAAACTGGCCGCGGGGGCTACGCCCCCACATCCCCGAACACCTTACACCATACTTCAATTGTATCATTACTTTAACCATTCCAATATACACCATAAAACCACTAGCAAATTAGGTGTATTATATAATAATTTAGGTAATAAATAAGTACCAAATATAAATGGATTAAAAACTATTTTGTTCAATAACATTTCTCAGAGTGTCCCCAAAATGCTACACCTTGTTAACCAAGATATAGAACAATTTCAATCAATTGAACCATATAAGCTCTATTTTCTGAAAGTTAATTGTGGTAAAAATCTGATAATTTGGCCACTATGGAACTTGATTATTAGTTATTACCATTATTGATTGCTCGTTTTATATGCAACCATCTTTGTTAAATGACTTTCAGCAGAGTCGTACAGTGGTCCGAGAAAAAGATACTTCTAAAATAAAGTCCAATACCTATACTTGTAAGTTGTAATGAAGTGACTTCTGCAGTTCTGCCTTTAATCTAAATTATTAAAGAAGTTTTGTAGTTACAGGCGCTTAGATTTCTGATGTCTACGGAGTTGTCTGTTAATAACTGTATGGCTATTAAGTATTTGGTTGATGTACCCAATGAACTCTGTGTCAGAACTCAGCTGCAAGTGTGACACATACCAACTCGACGTCGTCTAAAAGTTACAATAGTTCCATAATATGAATATATTATATTATTTAAATACCACGAACGGTCTATATCCTAGACAAATGAAATGAAACTGAAGTAGGAACAAAATAAAAACTACCATTGAGCTATAGTATCAAGTTTATAATTACTCACCAAAACGCAAAAAAACTCAAGTGTAACACCAGCTGCCTATCATACCCGGGAATTCTGCTGCGGATATTCCGTAAGTATGACACCGGCCTTAGCGACGGTACCCAATCAACACGTAAAATAAATAATTAATTAATGATTGCAATAATTATAATATAATAATTATTATTAGTTATTAAAATATTAATTATTAGGGTAACATAATGTGCTGATTGGTGTCAACGCCTAATGGTAGATGGAGGGATCATATTTTCTCCAGAAAAGTATAATTAACAAAATAGTCATGTTACGTTAAAATTTACAAACTACTTAAAAATCGTAGGTTTGTTTTTATTTAGTAGGTATCTGTTATTTTTTATAATCTGAATATTTGTAGCCGGGCTGTAGGTAAGTATTGATTTACGGATTTCAAATTATTTTGACTAAGATAATTTTACTTAAAAAAATAAATGTTTTATAACTTATAATATATTCTGCAATGTAGTTAACTAGAAAATGTACAGACAACAGACTATAGGTATAATGATATTACTTCTGCAACTCATAAAAAAGTGTATGGCCTTATGGCGACATCGAACCGTAGAAACTATACCTACCTAGCATATTTATGTATGCCTATTATAGTTTATAACATCATCACGCATTCATATTATATTTTTGCACGACTGCACCAATCACTTGGAAGATACATCTGGGACGTACTATACATATTCATAGTATTGTGGTAAAGAAACTAGTGGATAAAAACCTTATACTTATATGCATGTACAAAAAAAAAGGTTTTATTGTACTTATTAATGACTATAAAAAACTATAAACTATAAAAAACTCAGAAGTGTATAG